TATAATATAAAAAACATGAAGATCAAGGTTAGTAGTTAGGAGGTAGTTAGCTATTGATTTAGTTAATAACTACTAGTTGAGTAAAGTGGTTAAATTAGTTGTAATTGGAGGGAAAACTATTGTATATAAACTGATGTGTGGAAAAGTGTTTGGGGGCTAATTACAAAGCAGTTTTTCATTCACTTTCCTTTTTTATTGCTTTATTTTTTATCTTTTGTTCTACTCTTCCCTTCTCTCATACTAATAATTCAATCATTGTTAAATAGGGAGCTTAACAAATCACCTCTTTTTCTGAAAAATCTTGACCTCTCTATCTTTCAAAAAAAAAAAACTTTCTTTCTCTATTTCTTTCCTAAATCAAGTGATGGTTATGATCAGTGATTAGTACTTAAAAGTGCATTCTCATTAAGGATTTATGTCATCATATTGCACCTAAAGTATCATTAAATTCCCTAACAAAAGCATGTTTTATATTAGCAAGTCTAAAAATATAATATACCTTTAATTCATGGTAAATGTTCATCCTAAATGCAGGTCTATCACATAAATAAAAGGATTGATTGATGAGTTTAAGGATTGAAATTGAAAGGATAAAAAGAAGGCCAAACTTAGCAAAGTGTTGCTGGTGCATTCCAAACTCGAACACCGTTCAGTAATTTGATCATATCTGGAGCTGTAGATATCAGATTTAGGTCCATTTTATATCGATAGAAAGGTAAGACATAAACCTACAACTTTCATATGAAGTCAAAGACTCAGTTCTGCCGTTTTCAAGCCCAAATCTTAGCAACAACGAAGACGTCGGAAGCTGTTCTGCAGCTCAAGCACTATTCGGTTTTTGGCTCATATCTTGAGTTCTAGAAGTCCAAATGAGCTCTGGTTTTTTTTTATGGAAAGCTGAGACAATTGCCCATAGCTTCCACAATTCAGTTAGCTATAATTCTGATGTGAGCAATGACGTTTTGGCCAGCCAACAATATCAAAAATCAGCCCACAATATCAAAAAAACCAGCAGCCATTAATGTCAAAAACCAGCCACCAAATCAATGGATGCCCACCAATTCTTCAATCAATCAATAGTTCTGAAACTTAGCCTATAAAAGGAGGCATTGTCCATGTATTTAGTCATATTAATTTTCAGATCAAAGTTATCTTCTTGCTTTCTCTCTACATCTTTGTAATGTTCAAGTTTTCTTTTATGCTATAGTAATCTCTTGTTTATGCTCTTTCATTTCCTTTCCTATACTTAGTTAGCTTATATTATGTTTATGTTCTTATATTGTTTATTTATGTTTTTCTCCTTCTTAATGTTTAGCTAAGTTAATTATGTCAAGGTGAAAAGGTTTCTCTAATGGTGTTAAAATAGGTATAATATAAACTCAACATGAGCTTTAAATGTTTATATTCAAGAAAGATTATTATTAACATGTTTTATCTTTTTATCTTACTAATTCTTAATACCTTGCTTATTAAATGGTTAATTTAGATTTGTGTTGTATAATATTTGGTACATCAAATGCTTGATCCTTCATAGTTTTCGGCCGACATCGTTATTATGATAGGAACTTGATTTGTTGTTAACATAAACTAGCAACATGAATACTTGATGATATTTATAAGTATGGTATTACTTAGATAAGATAATTAATATGATCATGTTAGTAATTTATAATGAGCTAATAATGAGAAATCATCCGATTAGAACCTCCTTTGTGTGTGGTTTCTAGTTGAGTAATAAAAAGAGTTTATATTATATTTATTTGAAATACCATTAGTGAATCCTATAACCTTGACATATGTTTTGTTATTGTTTAATCCTTACATCAATATCACATCCCAAAACTTTCTTCAACTCCTTTTCTGTTATTATTCTCTTCAAATCTTTTTCTTTATTTGTAATTTATATAATTCACCTCCCTATGGTTCGACCCTGGTCTTGCCGGGTTATTTTACTTTGACACTCCTGCACTTGGGATAAGACATCAACTCTTTGATCGTGTCAATCGGTAAGCAATTAATGAGTATAACAACTCTTATCTTATGTATATGTTGATGAAACAAGTTTTTATCAATATATCTTTTCAAAAATAAAAGGATAAAAAAGATTTATGGATATAAATTTTTAGGAAACAAGCACATCTTAGTGAAAGCATTCTGGGCTTGGCAATGTGCCAAGTCCCAAGCATGCTAGGTCTGGCGCTGGGCCAAGCCCCGGGCATGTTGGGTCTGACGCTAACAAGACCTAGACATGATTAAGTTTGGTAGTGTGCCAGTCCCGAGAATGCTACGTCTGGTGCTGGCCAGACCTAGATACAATTAGGCTGGGCAATATGCCAAGCCCTGGGCTCGTGCCAGACCCAAACACGATTAGTCTTAGTAGCGTGCCAAGCCCTGGCACACCAAACCTAGTTATAAGATAATATGGGCTGAAAAACATGATAAACCCAAGGTACCTAAACATGGTTATTCGTCAAGTCCAGAGTAACAAAGGTTTAGTAAACATATCAAACTCAAAGCACAAGGACTTGGCAGTCTACTAAGCCTATTACATTTGAACTTGACAATCAGTCAAGTTCAAGATAATGTGGGTCTGACAAATATGTCACACCCAAGGCACAAAGACTTGCTAGTTCGCCATATCCACTGCACTTGAACTTAACAGCCAACCAACTCCAAGATAACATAAATCTAGCAAACATGTCAGACCCGAAATACTTGAACTTGATAGTCTTACAAATCTAAGGTAACGATCATCTTTTCTTGGCATGCCCAAAGGAATGACCATCCTACCTGGGGCACACCTAAAGGGACGACCCTTCTCTATTGGGTCTAGCTTAGAGTAAAAACTCAAGCTTCATGGGCTCATCTAAATTTGACGCCTTGAATCGTAATCTCCCTATACTTTTTAGGTGTATAAAAATCTTTTAAGAACCCACCATATTTCTATCAAACATTAATATAGATGTAAGGGATATTTATATCTCATTAAATGCTATCATAGTAAATTTACACTTCAGACCCTTTTTTCCACATAAAGACAAGACTCATAGACTATGAATACACCATAAAATCTTCAAATCAATTATTCACAATCTTCATTCTTTACTGCATATATAATTTCAAAATATTTGTTTCTAGAATATTCTTGTATTTTCTATCTTTAAAAAAAATACTTATTTAATATCAGAGAGTCCTTACCCCCACTAAAAGGAACTTTTTTCAAGTACTAGTCATAAGCTATCTTAGCCTACTAAGAACCACGTATATGTTATCAAACACCTTAGCTGTAAAGAATAGATGAGATTATTATGATCAATTGATTAACTGATTATTTAACCCAGGAACCCTATTCTTAAGCTATTTGAATTTTTTAAGACTTCATCAATGGCATTGTTTGTTAGAAACTGGTAAAAAAATCATTAGTTTCTTTCTAAAGCTTGCTTCTGACATTTTCATACAATTCCATGGCATATAACCAATAACCACCTAGGTTAGGATGCGAGACATGGAAAGAAACGTTCTAGTCTAATTGGGTTGTGTCTTGTGTGCTTTTAGTTTTTTTGTTTATTTAATTTTATCTTATTTCTTGATTAAAGGTTTTATAGTTATGAATTGGGTCATTAAAGATTTATTTGTTGATTCTTTCCTTACACACTTTGAAACTAAATGGTTGAAGCTACTAGATAGATGAAATAGGAAGAACTTGATAATAACTATAAGAGTTTTGATCAAATCAATAGAGGTAATGAATCAGTGATAGTTGATTACATGTCTTCAGAGAAATATTTTAAAGTAGGCCCTTCTCATGAAGTAGAAGATAGAAAAAACTAATGTTGATTTTTTCTAATTTTTTATATAAATTATCTTAACCAAATCAAAATTGATCAGTTTGAAACAGTTTTAATTTTTAAATAAAAAAATTAGTTTGGTTATCTTTTTAAATAAAAATTGAACTAGCTTGAAAAATAGTCATCCTAGTAAAATACACGCACATATATATATACACACATCCTTTCAAGCTTCTTTTTTATAATTTTAAAACTTGGCCTAAGTAAATCAGCTAAGACCTAACTTTTTGTTTTTTTGACAGCTATCTTGCTTTTCATCTCTCTTTCCTTTTCATCTCTCTTTCCATGGCAACTATCTTGTTTCAAGACATAACAGCGTCAAAAGAGCCCTTAAGACTTTGGGCTAAGATAAGAGACCCAGATTCAAAGACGAGATCTATCCTGAAAGGAAAGAAAAGGAAAAGAAGACTCTCAAAGCCAAGTAGTAAGATCCCTAGTAAGATCCCGGCCAAACTAGTAGAAGAAAGAATGCCTCAAGGGCCTTAACAATCGATTGAAAGACTTCAGGCACCTTTCATAGCAATCCATAAAACAAGCTACGAAAAGAAAGAATTTAATTCTCATCCCTTCACTTCAAAGCAAGAGTCATACTCCTAACCTCTCTCCACTATCAAAGAGAAGAGAAGACAAAAAAACAAAGCTGGATCATCTCTTCCTTCTAGCTCCATTTATGGCTTATAGATCCTGGGATGGTTTCCAAAGGACAACCTTGAAAGCGAAGAGAATTAGAAGACAAGGTTTACTTTAGTGGGATGGTTTTAAATTGGAATTGAATTTTCTTTGTTAGGTTTTTAATTGAGAGTATTTTTAGGGAGTTGATGAAAATATATTTGTTTTTCTTATAAATTAACATGTGATCCGATTATTAAACCAGATCGGATATAAAAACTACATTCATTGTGGTTCGCAATACTTCAGGATCCTACTTCGGACAAGGTCATTGTCATGATTATTTTCGTTGGATTTAGGAGCAGCCTAGACTATCAAACACCTTGCATATTTTGGTCAAAGTTTAGGCTTCAGGCGAGGTAACATGCCTAGTACCAGTTTATTCATCAACAGATGTTAACTTCACTTTCTCGACGATCATAGGTTTGTTGCCTAGATCGGCCTCCTATAAATTCCTTTAAATGCTGATTTTTAAATTCACACTCAAAAAAGTCAAGGAAGCAAACCATTGCTATAGAGAAAGATAAGAGCATCTCAAGCATTCGCTACATTTTGTAATTTGTATACCTCTGATATATACAATAAAGATGCAGCTGGTGAAAAAAGCTTTTAAACTATACAACACCAGGCACTGCCATTATCGCTATCTATCCCCCACCCCCCCTATACTATCAGTGCTCTTTATGTGCGAAATTAGCTTCACCTAGTCCACAGAGCGCTCCTGGGAATTGCTATGTTAAACCTTGACAGCAGAACCAAATTGTGGGATAAGGTGGGATGGTATATCTCTTATCCGGTAGCCATTACCCCAGAAAGAGGCAAGACAAAGACCCATGATCGCCATGGCAACTACAGAGCATGCTGGTGGGACAGCCTGTGTGCTCCCGAGGAAATGGGTAGCTAGAAGTCCAGCCAAAGTGGAGCTTTGCATTCCTGTACATAATGAAATTGTCCTGCTAGCTTCTTCCTCTTGCCTGTGACAATAACCACAAAAGTTAACTTCTTATCCCCTTTCATACAAAATTCTAACTCGTTCGTACAGGAACACGAAAAAACCAAAAACCAACCATGCATTTGCTAGAATCTGCTCTAAAGGGCAAATAAACTGCTCTAGATTGTTACACAAACCTTCATTCAGCCTATTCTGAGGAGCATTGCCAATATTAAAAGCAAACATCTTATTGAGGAATTCAGAAAAGTTCAGGGGAGTTGCTATAACTGGCAAAAGAGGAGATAGAAATCAGAATAACTGGAGTCCAACATTGCTCTAATTTTCTACCAGGAATTAGTCGACATCTGTGTAGAGCACACAGGACCAAATAGCTTCTCAGAAATTCCAAGTTAAGTTGAATTATTTCAAGGCATGAGGCAGTGATTGGAAAACGCAGGTTATAAGTTCAGTGGAACATCAATTGGCCTTTTGTTCAGCTGGTATTAGCCTCCCGTGTAAAAAAGGAGGTCATGAGTTAAACTCTCACTAAGGAACTTCAGCTTCTAAAATATTCACTCATAAGAAAAAGTTCAGGAAAACAGAATGGGTTGAAAATCCAACATAAGCAGTAGAAATGGAAAGAAATAAGCAACAGTATAATAACCAACAATGTGTGAAATCTGACAGAGGGTAAGGTCAGATGGTCATATGAGGTTTCCAGAAAAAATTACATTTGCAACATCCAGATAAGCATAACCATCACCAATTCCATGAGTGTATATAGCTTTGGCAGAGTAACCAAAGGAGTTTATAACAGTGGGACTGGGAAAATCACTAGAACAACTATTGCATGAGGATCACAACAAGCGGGGTCACAAAACAGGGACAATGGCAGTGAGGACAGGTTTTTATCAATTCTAAATTTTAAAACTGAAAAATGCACTAGGCCCAAATGCATTTATGAAATTACCTCAAAGCTGGAATTTTGGAGACCCAATATCCCAAAGTGAATGCCACAGCATGAAATGTCAATACTGGAAAAATCAACCAGAGACCCTCTTTGGAAAGAATCTGACTTCTATTTATTGCTAGCGGACTCCCAATACAAAGCGAAGTGCACACCATAGCAACAAATGGCATGACAGGATTCAGTAAATTTACAACTGCCTTTGCATAGGTATTTAGTACGAGGCCGAGAGTGACTGGAATAAGGACAACCTTAAAAAAGGGAATCTAATGTTAAACTTGAGGGAGGCGAAATAAAATAGTGAATCTAAAAACATATCAGTTAGTAAAGAGCTCTCATTACCTGCAAGATTGACTTTGACATGGCAATGGCATCAACAGGAACTACAGAGCCAATGAGAAGACCAGTTAAAAGAGGTGTGAAAAGGACTGATGCAATGGTAGTGGAGCTAGTAAGGAGAATGCTCAAGGCTACATCCCCTTTACTCAAGAAACTAGCATAGCTGGATAACTGAGCTCCTGCAACACAAGATGTTAGGACAAAACCCGCAAAGAACATCTGAGACATCCCAAATGCCTTTGCAACTAATACTCCAAGGCCTGGTTTGAGCACATACTGCGCGATAAACCCAACAGATAGTGGTAAAGGTCTGCAACAGATGGAAAAAATAACATTGATTCTAAATTTTGCAAATTCACATAATACATTCAATAGTTCAAAGAAAGGAATTAAATTAACAAGAAAAAAACATATACCGTTTAATTGCAGGAGCAAAATCATGAATAGAAAGTTTAATCCCAATTGACAGCATGATCCCACCAAGAGCTGGAGCATACAGCTCCTTAGATACCCTGAAACAAAGTTTCAAAATCAAACCTGCAAACTAAATTAGGCATCCAACACTCCTTTTTGAGCCCTTAAAGACCAGTCCCAAGCCTTTTTAGTCAGAAAAAGACTACAACAAAAATCCTGCAAAGCTACCAGAAACCAATAAAAAGCACAAGTTTTGACCATATTCATCTATTATATTCTTTAATAAATAAATTATTGGCAATTAAAGAAGTATTATATCAATCAAACTTCATAAGAAAAATCAAAATAAAATATTGAAACAGAACAACATCGAAGTAAGCTAAGTTTGTTTAATATTGATTAGTTTCGAAAAGTGTCCATTATATATATATATATATCAAAACTCGGGGATTCAACGAACGACTAATCAGACACAACCCATCCCGGAAAAGCAGCAGAGACAATCCCAAGAACAAGACTAATTCCCCGCATTAACTAAACCAAAATTACTTGAACAGCGACTATTTTTTTTTCTCAGGATTAGAAATAAAAAAGAATACCAAAAGGAAATTAAATTTATATATAGAAGCAACTAACCAAGTGAAAGTGGCAGGCTGAGCAAGAGCAGCTATTGCGGTGGCAGCAACAACAAAAGGAAGCATAGCTGATAAGACCTGAGAAGAATCGGTCTTTGAGACCTCTGCATTTGGGTTAATCCCAAAATGCAATAAAGAAACGTTGCCTTCTCTTCTCTGTGACCCAACTCTTCCTATAAACGGTGAGGTTGAACAAGCAAATGTAAACCGTGCTCCATTCTTCGGCCAGCCCTTATTTAATCTTTTCATTGGAAGAGAATGGCAAGTAAATGAAGAATAAGAAGTTAGAGAAACGAAGTTCTGAGCTTTTGTAGAGATTGAGAGTTTTGGTACTGGTCTTGGGGAGATGGAGGAGATTAAGGCCATTTAATTGTATTTCACAAAGGAAAAAAAAGGGAGGGTGTTGGGTGGCAGCGGATTTTGTTTCTTGAGGTGGTTAAAGAGGTAGGTCCGCCGGGGAGTAGTGGAGTCCGGCGAAGTAGGGAGGGAAAGGGAGGTGGTGGAGCTTTAGGAAAAGATGAGGAGGAGATGGAGCTTGAGTGATGGGGGAGATATTATGGATTTTTTCAGTCAATTATAACTTAGTACCTATATTTTACTACAATTCATTAATGGGTCCCTTAGCATGAAGATAATCCCTTAACGAGCATCGATCATCTTCAATTACTCTTTTTTTGGTCGGAAAATACCAGAAAGTCTTACCTTTAGAGAGAAGTTATTAAAATATTGACAAATATAAGGACTAATATGTAATTATATATAGTTCCCAAGACTATAAGGATCTGTATTAAAATACAGGAACCGGGTTATATAATAAACTCTCTCTTTCTTTTTAGTGGCGGAGAAAAGGGTTGTTTTTTAATCTTAATTTTTAAATATTAGTGATTAAGAGAGAATGCTCAGGTGTGGTTCTTCTCTATCGTGATCATGGAGTTGGTGGTGACATGTAGAGTTTGTAGTGGCTGGGACTAGAAGTTGCTAATTACGGTCGAGTATCAATCAAGGCATAGTCCAGATGGTTAATGTTGCCGTTTAATTTATGTGACAAGATGAAGAAAGGACAGAATCCAATGGATTCGTAGATAATGAGGTCGTTTTTCTCCTGGGCCCATATGTTTTTAGCAAATAATTTTTTTAAAAAATAAATTTTAAAAAAGTAAATTATAAAAAAATAAATTATTTTTTAATATTTGATATTATAATGGAAAATAAGTTAAAAAATATTTTCTAGTGTTTAGTTATATCATGAAAAATAAATTAAAAAATAACTTATTAATATTTTATTTTTTAAAATTTATAAAAATAATAAAAAATAAATCTTACAAATTAAAAGGATGAATGAGAATGAAATTGAAAAAAAAATATTATAATTTATCTCAAATAAAATAAATAATAATCAAAATAATAGAGATCAAATCTAATAAATAAAAAAATTAAAAGATAAAGAAATTAAATTAATAATAATAATAATCATTTCATAAATTATTTCAAATAAAATAAGTAACAATCAAAAGAATAAAAATTAAATTTGATAAATAAAAAATTTTAATTAGAAAATAATAAGGAAAAAGTAAATAACAATTATAAAAATGAGGACCAAAGTTTAATATAAAAATTAAATTCTAAGAGATGAAATTGAAAAACAAATATTCAAAACAAAATATATAAAGCAATCAAAAGTTTTGAGGATCAAATTTGATATAATCAGAAAGTAATATGATATTTTTAAATTTTTTATAATTTTTGGAAAGTGTTTTCCACCCAAATTTTTCAGAAAAACACTTTTCTGAAAAATAACTCAAATTTTTATTTTACTGGAAAGTGTTTTTCGTTGATCTATTTTTTTAATAACAAACAAAAAGTTTGGAAAATGATTTTTAAGAAACTACTTCCTGCCAAACAAATACCTCTGTAATATCTAAATTATAGTTTTAAAATCTGACTTGGTTTGATAAAACTATCTGAATCTAAAATTAGGCTAGGTTAAAGAAAAAACCATTTAAGAATTTGATTAAATAAATATATCATAATTTTATATATATTCAAGTAAGTAAGATGATTTTGTTTAATTATTTGATAGAAAATTAAACAATATAAATGAATCTATTTAAAAAAAAAAAATATGTGGTATTAACTCAAAGAAATTGAAAGCAAATTAAAAAAAAATAGTCATCATGACTTTTTATATCGCAGCTCATTCCTGTTAATCTAGTTTGACTCCATGTATTTTTTATTTAATTTTTTTTAGGGGTTTAAATTAGAAATTAAAAGGGTAGGGGTTGATTTTGATTAAGGATTTGATTTGTCAATTGTTGAAAGAATCAAGACTAAAGTGTATGGTTGGCTTTCCCAAAATCCACGAAAATCATATCATCAAGATAGATTTTACCAATTCTTTTATCTTTTCAAATTCAAATTTTTAAAAGGGATAGAGATTATGTGTTTCTCAATGCTCTGGGAATTTTTAAATCTGACCCTGAGAGAATTTTCACTTCAAAAACACAAAATTTTATTCATTTCCATCCCTCTCTTTTTGCCAGGAAACTTTGTTCTTACAAAACATGGGGTGCATTGAGCTATTAGTATCGAAAGTAAAATGATTTGATAAATTAATATGGCAGCAAAAAGTTTTGATGAAGGAGCACAATTTATAAATGTTTATAAATATTGTAGTTCTAAAAAGTGATATGTAATTGATGTTGTAGTTATATTTGAATAGAAAATAAATTGAAAAATATTTTCTAGTGTTTAGTTATATTATGAAAAATAAGTTGGAAAATAACTTATTAATATTTTATTTTTTTAAGTTTATTAAAATAATAAGAAACAAATCTTACAAATTAAAAGGATGAATAAGAATGAAATAAAATATATATATATATATATATATATATATAATTTAATTCAAATAAAATAAATAATAATCAAAATAATGGAGATCAAATCTAACAAATAAAAAAAAATAAAAGATAAATAAATTAAAATAATAATAATAATAACCATTTCATAAATTATTTCAAATAAAACAAGTAACAATCAAAAACATAAAAATCAAATTTGATAAATAAAAAAAATTAATTAGAAAATAATAAGAGAAAAGCAAATAACAATTATAAAAATGAGGACCAAAGTTTGATATAAAAATTAAATTTTAAAGGATGAAATTAAAAAACAAATATTCAAAACAAAATATATAAAGCAATCAAAAGTTTTGAGGACCAAATTTGATATAATCAGAAAGTAATATGATATTTTTAAATTTTTTATAATTTTCAAGAAGAGTTTTCCACCCAAATTAAAATTTTCAGGAAAACACTTTTCTAAAAAATAAACTAAATTTTTATTTGACTGAAAAGTGTTTTCCGTTAACTAATTTTTTTAATAACAAACAAACAGTTTGGAAAATGATTTTCAAGAAACTACTTTCCACCAAACAAATATTTCTTTAATATCTAAATCATAGATTTAAAATCTGACCTGGTTTGACAAGACTATCCGAATTTAAAACTAGGTTGGGTTAAAGAAAAAATTAGCTAGAAATTTAGTTAAGTAAGTGTATCACAGTTATATATATATATATTATGGTTTAGTAAGTAAGATGATTTTGTTTAATTATTTGGTAAAAAATTAAACAATATAAATGAATTGATTTTTTAAAAAAACAAATAGGCAGTAATAACCTAAAGAAATTGAAAGAAAATTAAAAAACAATAGTCATCATGACTTTTTATTGCAGCTCATTCTTGTTAATCTAGTTTAACTCCATGTACTTTTGATTTAATTTTCTTTTTAGGGGTTTAAATTAGAAATTAAAAGGGTAGGGGTTGATTTTGATTAAGGATTTGATTTGTCAATTGTTGAAAGAATCAAGACTAAAATGTATGGTTGGTTTTTTCAAAATCCATGAAAATCATATCATCAAGATAGATTTTATCAATGTTTTTATCTTTTCAAATTCAAATTCAAATTTTTAAAAAGGATAGAGCTTATGTGCTTCTCTGGACATTTTTAAATCTGACATTGAGAGAATTTTCACTTCAAAAACACAAAATTTTATTCATTTTAATCCCTCTCTTTTTGCCCAGGAAACTTTGTTCTTACAAAACATGGGATGCATTGAGCTATTAGCATCAAAAGTAAAATGATTTGATAAATTAATATGGTAGCAAAAAGTTTTGATGAAGGAGCACAATTTATAAATGTTTATAAATATTGTAGTTCTAAAAAGTGATATGTAATTGATGTTGTAGTTCTGGAACGCGATAAGTAATTAATGTTATATTTCAGAATTATAACAAATATACATTGTAATTGAGAAATGTCATATCCATTAAATGTTAGATGTTAGGCTGACATTAATTAAATTAAAGCATGAAAATCCGGCAACAAAATTCTCTTGCTTTCAAATCTAACAAAAAAGGTTCTTACGAGATTTATCATTGAATAGCATGACAACTGTAATTTCAATGATTATTTAGTTTATTGCTTTTATATTTAATTTAGTTAATGATTTTAGAAAGTAAGAAAATTTTTAATGTTAACAGAATTTCCTCTATTTAAAAACTTCACTTAAAATTTTGTTATCTATTAAAATATACATAAATAATCATAATAATCAAACACGATAATTTTTTATAATTCATAATCAGAAATAGTCTCAGGCTTGCTATTAAAAACGCAAAACTCAATTATTTTCATAAATAAAATGTATTATTTAATATATATTAATTATAAAAATATTTAATTACTTATAATATTTTGAATCTATCAATCATGTTGCTTGCATACATGTTTGTAGGTGAAGGAACTTACTCAAAATTCGGTGTAATAACTCAATGTGTGATACTCGTATATTAAATCATTTATTTATTATTTATAATCACATGATGTATCTTTATAAATATTTTATTTATATGTGCATAACCTATTTGAGATCCGGTGTAATAACCTAATGTGTAATATTTGTATATTAAATCATTTACTTATTCTTTATAATCACATGATGCATCTTTGTAAATATTTTATTTATATGTGCATCTCATTGTAATACATAAGCTCTATGATAGTTTAACTAGTTATAATTATTATTTTTATCTTAATAATTTATGGCATAAAATGCACCACTCATATCAATGTTGATTAGAATGTGTTCTGTATATAACCACATTTTTACATTGTCCAAGCTGAGTAATATAATTTAACCAACAATTAATGAAATCATTGATGTCTATATGCTTATCCTAGTAATATAAAAATCTAGAGCAACTACCAATTTATCCTTATATGGAGTCCAGATGACTTGTAAAAGATAAATATCATAAATATTAAATAATAATAATTTGTTGATGTTCTTAACAAATGGTTCAAAAAAATACCTGAATAGGTTACTGTCTATCTAACTTATTTCAATAAAATGACAACACAATGTGTTGGATTATTATAAAATAATTGACTAGCAAACCGTCTAACATTATAAATATATCATTTTAATTGTATTTTTAAGTTACAATTAGATAATATAATTGTAAAATAACATTGGATTACCTACATCCTAATAAG